GTTTCTATCTCTCCCTCTCCCTTCCTCTCTAAAATCAAAAAAAGTATATTTAATATAGTTTATATATATATATATATATATATGATGACAGTCGCTTTGCATACCCAAGAAAATCTGCAGAGGGAAAGCTCTTTCTACATACTGTCAGGAATATCTCAATTGAAAGTCTTTAAACAATGGTTTAAGATTCAGAATTTCCTACTATGTACTTACCCTCATTTTAACCAGCATTCTTCCTCACTCTCTAGTGCACCCTAGTTTTACAAGAGGGGCTTATCGATCCTTTGTATTTAATGTCTGTTTGCTGACAATCTATACGCCTTATTGTACTGATGTCCAGAACAAATAGAGTGTAGGCTTTTTCTTTGAATGGAATACAAGTCAGAGGACTTTCAATCAGAGCCTGACACTTCAGGAACACTTGAGAACCTCAGAGGGGCAGACATTATCTAATGTAATGACGAACGCACTCTTCCCTCCTTCCTTAAGACTTACAAAAGCACCACAGAAATGCTCCTGAAGAGGAAACCTGACTGCACGCAGGCTCCTGTCATCACTCATCCTGTGATGAATGACATAATGCTCATTCTGCTGTAGTACACATGGCAATGCCTTCAGCAGAAACACAAGCTTTAGAGAGCATCAGAGGTCATAACTGACAAAAAAACGAAACACCCTATGAATGCAATAAACATGGAAAAACCTTCAGCATACAGTCACTGCTTCCTCAGCACGGAAGGACTCACACAGGAGGGAAGCCCTCTAAAGGGGTAAGAGCTTTCTGCAAGAAAACAAGCCGGCATGATCAAAACAGAAATCACACTGGGGAAATCTACATCTATAAGAAATGTGGGGAAAGCTGAACAACAGTTGAGCTTCGACTAAATACCCAAACATTTATTCTATAAATTAATGAATGTCCAGAACCATTACGCTAAACTTCTGCCCTTACTAAGTCTTGAATAACTCACACTAGGGAAGAAACCTGAAAGTGTTCTGAATTGTGGGCAGGAAGAAAAACCCCTCCTGTTTCCACAGAATATTACTGAGTGTCCTCCCCATCACTAGGAGATGGCTACTTATTGGGAGGAGAAGAGACGTGGGTAAAGAAGGTTTTATGTAAGGGAGATGACTATCTATAGATGCCGGGAGCCGGTCCATGCTTGCTGTTTCAAGGGACCTGGCATATATGGCATACTGTTCTTAATATGTTTGCTCACCTTCTTGGCACTATGTGTTTTAACCAAGGTCACCTCTCTGAGAAAGGTTGTTTCCCCAGGTAGGGATTTTCCCCTGAAGTTAGGGAGAGAATAAAACCTCTTAACTAGTGCCAGGTGAGTAATTAATCACTTTAACTACGAACAATCATGCTTAAGCTACATAATCTTTACTCCCTGGAATGGAGATAAGAAACGCCCTAACCTTTGTAATAGAGATTGGTAGGATTGAATCAACTGGTATAAATACAGATGTAGTAAGACAGCAAGAGACAGAACTTAGAATACAGAACCAAGAGAGACAGAACCTAGGCACAGAACCTACACAGAACGTTCTCTAGAGACAGAAGAACTTCGCTGGAGAGAACATGGCAAAAGTTCCTGGACAGAAACTGGCCTCAGAACCTAGAGACAGAACCTAGCGAGAGAACATGGCAAAAGATCCTGGACTGAACCTGACTACAGAAATTGGCAAGAGAACCTGACTAGAACCTGGTGACTGAACCTGGCTGGAGAACCTGGACAGAACCTGGCTGGAGAACCTAGCAAGAGAACATGGACACAGAACCTGGCTGGAGATCCAAACCAGAACTTCACTGGAGATCCTAAGCAGAACTTCGCTGGAGATCCAGACCAGAACTTGGCTGGAGATCCTGGCTAGAGATCCTGGCTAGGCTGCTGATCAACTGAACGCTGTCTCTGTGTCATTCCTTCTTCGCCGACTCCATCCACACCTTTGGGGACCCCCTGGACCTGCTGGGGTTGGACTCCGGCATATAGAAGCTTCCAAAGTTGGCCATGCTGCTGGGGCTAGTGGGCAAGTGAAGATTCTTAGGATTTCTGTAGCACGATCTATGGGATCAGCAGGCCATGTGCTCAGATGGAGAGGGATCCACTGGTAAACAGATGACCCACTGAGCTGTCTCAGGCCTAACAACATCCAGACACGGAGGGATGCTCATATTTCTAGAGACAATGAGTTGCAGCCTTGTAAAAACATTGTACTCTTAATAAATGTCCTTCAGACTTGATAGGGAAGTAGAAGGGGAAAATTATTTAGGAGGTAAAATCAATTGGCAATATTGGAGAACAGGGAAAATAGGATAAAGGGAGAAGGAAAAAGAATGATTTGGAGGTTTCTGATTGGAATGAAAAATGGGAAGATGGTACAAATCTCTCAGACAGGGAATCTTAAAAAGTAATACCAAAGCAAACACTTTTTCTGTGTAATTATATTCCTATTAAGTATTTTTGAAAATTACCAGAGAACTTTCCTTTAATATTAAATTCTTTTATTGGTAAACGTATTTTTTCCCTAGCATGAAACAAACAAAAAAAAACCCCAAGAAGTCAAGTATCAAAATCTGTTCCTTTGCCCTAGCCGGTTTCAGGGGTTAGAGTGTCTGCCCTCAGACTGAAGGGTTGCATGTTTGACTCTGGTCAAGGGCACGGACTTCAGTTGCAGGGCGCATACGGGAGGCAACCAATTGATGTGTCTCTCTCGCATCCGATGTTTCTTTCCCTCTGTCTCTTTCTCACCCTTCCACTCTCCCTAAAAAATCAATGGAAAAAATATCCTTAGGTGAGGATTAACAACAACAAAAATCTGTCCTTTTGTCTTCTTTCAATCTGAGTTAATTTCAAGCGTGATACAGATTAGCATTATGTTTGATCCAGATCTGCTCTTAAAGACATGATTTTGATTATGTATAGTTTCAATGAGTAAAGACAGTCCCTATATAATAAAAAATAACTTCACATTTCAAAGATAAGGCAGCTAGTTCCTACAGTGAAATTAAAGGTTTGGAACTTTTCTTTTCCCCTGAGCAATTCTGAAGTACATGGCACACCAGAAGTGATCAATAAGCAGCTTCACTAGAAAGTGACTGAACTTCTGTAGTTGCCCCTTCCTTCCTACAGGTCAACAACAGGTTAGGCAGAACATTGAGCTAAATTCTGCTTGACATGAAAGCCCCGGGAATACAGACAGGAATTCCACAAACTGATGGGAATTACAGGGCCCTATGTAGGGCACTGAATTAGCAATAGGAGAGATCTATTTTAATAAACGGAAATGGTCTCTAGTATAGGTAACTGAGACCTGGGGGGTTTAATCACCAGCCTGCCAATAAAATCACTAAGCCACAAAGGATTCAGACTCTCATCTTCAAAGTTCAAATTCAGTACACTTTTAGTTTCAGAAAATGTGAATAAATCATCACCAGCAATAAAGGTACATATGATTATACAAACATAATAATAAGCTTTAATTTAAATAGTTCTGGTGTAACTTCACTAAAGATTTTACAGTTTCATAAAGTACACACACAAAACACAAAAACACAGCTTTTAAATTTTTTTGTAAGTACTGAGACTTGGTATAGTGGACAAAAACAAAGATAAACTTACTAGATTCAGTGATAACCACTACCTTTTCATAGTATTTTGCTAAATTTTAACAAAAAGAATTCCTTAATTTTTAAAAGAATTCATACTTTAAATGAAGCTAATATTCTAACTACATAATGAGGTAGATACCATTTTATGCTACTAAGTAAGATGAATTCATTAGACTGGCTGACATCATGGCTTAAGTAATATTTTGTCAAATTATTCCGTAGCAATGGTTTTTGACAAAATAACCAGTATCTAACCAAACATTTTGGAAAACAATTCGAAGATGCTTATGCTCTACAACTCAGTAACTAATGTGCTCGGAGTGCAGGTGTCAACATGGATGCTCCTCAGCAATACTGAACATAAGAAGCATGCTAAAGACGACAAAAAATAGGACTCCATCTACATAAAGAATGTAAAACCTGCAGTAGCACATATTGCTAAGGGATATATGTGCTTGCAGGAAAAATATATTAAATGCACAGGAATGACACAGATCTGCACTGGATAGTGGCGGCCTTGGTGGGAGGAGGGAAGAGAGGAGGTGAATGTAGGAGAATGCAGCGCGGCTTCAACAGTACGGGTTGGTTAGGTACACAGGAGTTCATCTTATTATTCTTTATGTCTTATGTTAAATATTTCATGATAAACTAGAAAACATTTTTCTGCCAGATGACAAAGTCCAGTTTATGCTGCCAAATGTCATGTAATCTTGGTGATTATGAGTAATGGTTTTCGAGGTGGCATACCATCTAGCCCTTCCTCGACTGCTCACCTTCTGCTATCTGCCCACTATAAACTCACCGTAGCTCGCTGGCCTTTGCCCTGGGTTTCACAACTCACTCCAGTAATACTGGTAGTTCCCCTATGTAAGCAGAAGTGGCTTAGTTACAGTGGGTAAATGCATAATAAATGTTAGTCTCCTTCTTTAAAAATACAAAACAAAAGTGCCTTTTTTGATTCTCTCTCTTCCCTCAAATATGCCAACATAATGTCAAATTATAAAGTTATAAAATAAAGGTATAAGGGAAAAGACAACTGGAGTAAGTTGTGAAACTGTGTCTTATTCTCATTCTCCCATTAAAAAGCTTCAAAGCCTTGGGTAAATCATACAACCTCTTGAAGTCTATTTTCCCCCTTCACTAAAGTGAGGAAGCCAAATTGACCAAAATGACTCTTATAGTACTACCTATGACTGAGTGATGTATAGCTGTGAACGCCACATGAGTTTCTGAGGCCTGCACAATATACAGACAAGTAACATCAAGAGCTTTAAACGTTTACAATTTAGGAAGCATACTTTGACAATTCTAAAACTTCTTAATTTGGGATTCTATAATTGACTATTTTGTATATTTAGAAGAAAAGTTCTTTAAAAGTACTCACATCTGGTTGAATGGCTTTAAATACTGGGACATCCATTAGTGTTATTTGACCCTGAAATAAAAAGTAAAAAAAAAGACAATTTCTTCTTTGGAATTCTATGATAATGGCATATATTCTAAATAAAAGTGATATTCTATACTAAAATATATTGAATAACCAAGTCTTTACCAGGAAAATATCAATTTATAAGGACTTAAAAAAATGAAAATTTAGTCCTAGTACCATTAAATAAATGTATTTCTAATTATTTCATACCTATTCATATTTTCTTGTGAGATAAATGAGGTAAAGTTAGAAAATAAAAATAATTTTGAAAAATTTGAACAGTTATACTTGAAATCAAAATCAAAACCAAAAATCAGATCTACTGGTTCATGGAGCAGTGTTCAATATCAGGAAATCATTATATTCTGTTAATAAGTTAAAGGAGAAAGAGAATATAAATAAACATTTATGTCATTTAAGAAATAAAAGTTTTTCTGGGTAGTTTTCATAATATTGCAATAATGCCTTCAACTTTCATTTCTCAATTTTTTAATTTCCAAAAAGTAAAAATACCCCTAACCTGTCAATAAAGTACAGTTGGCTTGGGGAGGTGGTACAAGTAGGGACCACGAAAGCAATTACCATGAAGGTAAAATACTTATTATTACTTACCAAGCTAAACAAACGTTTATGTGCTGCTCTAAAAATATCCACAGCTCTTCTTACCTTCCCCATTTCATCCCTCTGCTTGCTCCATCCTTGGGCTACTCTCCCTTTTAATTCTCACCCCCAGCTTTGTTTACTTACTTTTACCAGGACCTCCGCTGACCCTATAAATTCTAACTCAATAGCACCAATATATAAACTATGTGCAAAAACTGGAGCAAGGAGGGGGGAGGCTTACCGCATATTCTTCTGGTGTAACCTTAAGAATATCAAATACCACGGCATCAAAGCTTTTCTTCAATTCAGAACCTTTGTCACTTAACGATTCAGAACTGCTACTTTTCTGTTAAAGTAAAAGAAAATGCAGCCATTTTAATACTATCTCATAGTTAATGTCACAGAAACGAGATTGGCATTAACAACTGAGGAAACCTTACCATTTGCAACAGCATGGATGGACCTGGAGAGCATTATACTAAGCGAAATAAGCCAGTCAGAGTAAGATAAATATCACATGATCTCACTCATTTGTGGAATATAATGAACAACATAAACTCATGAACAAAAACAGATCCAGAGACAGAGAAGCATCGACCAGACTGTCAAACCTCAGAGGGAAGGTAGGGGAGGGTGGGGGTAAGGGGGAGAGATCAACTAAAGGACTTGTATGCATGCATATAAGCCTAACCAATGGACACAGACAGCAGGGGGGTGAGGGCATGAGTGGGGCCGTTGGGGGGGCACTAGGGGAATAAGGACACATATGTAATACCTTAATCAATAAAGAAAAAAAATTTAAAATAAAAACTGAGGAAACGGAGTAGAGTGGTTTAACAGATGCTGCTGGGAAGTTGGGCAGAATGTGTTGCTTATCTGGAAAAACACCAGATAAAGGGTCAGGCAACTAGAAGCCTAATCTCAACTTCAGGTTTTTAGGTTCCTGAGTAAGTCCTTTTGTCGTCTGTCAGTTTCCTCACCCGGACAGCCTATCATTTCTATAGAAATAAAAGACTTTAATAAGTTAAATGATTTTCAAATGGGTTGAAAAGGACGTTTAGAGAGAAGGATACACCTATTTATAATTTTTAAACTTATTTTTATGAAGAAAATGGAAGATTATTTTCATAACATGAACCACAAGAAAATGTTCAGAACTCTATTATTAAATAATCCAATACTATTTGTGAAGTGAATGTATGTGATACTGTAATTGATACTATTCTTCCTATTATATTACAAATTTAAGTGTTTTCTACTTGAAGATTACTATTTTATGTTTGAATTTGCTATTGTTACATGTAGACCAAAAAGTGGCTTTTGGCTCTGAATATCTTACTTCTGGTCAGTTTCCATTTCCTTTGTACCACATGATACAAATGTGCTCTACATCTTTTGGCTGAAATCAGGGCTTCATCGACTGTAACAATATTTAGATTGTGCTCTACTAAATGGAAGCAGGAAATCAGGCACAGTTAATGACACAAAAAATTTCACCAAAGTTTCAATTACCAAGGTATAAAATGTTAGCCTATTAGCTGTTAGACACCAATTTTGAGCACTTGTCCTTATGCCTCATTTTTACTTTTCCCCTCCCTTTCAGGAGCAGCTAATTATCAAGACAGTTACAAAGGAAGGGATCCATCATTAATTCTGGAAAGCTCTCAACCATAATTACTTCAAATATTTCTCCTGCTCCCCTTTCTCCTCTGGCAGTCCCACTATGCGTATGTTACACCTCTGGCATTGTAACACAGTGCTTGGATAATGTTCCACTTTTTCATTCCATAAATGACTTTTCTACATAGTTTTATTTGATGTGTTTAATCTCTGTAACTATGACAAGCTTACAGTATGTCAACATTATTTTATGTCCTAAGACTAATATAGAAATTTATTCATAATGTTAAGCATTCAAACAGAATTCAGTTTAGCAGTATACTAATCCAGTAACTGCCTAGATAGCTAATTACATCAGTCAAGTACTAACCTGGTAATTAAACATAATGGTAATTTTTTCCAAGTTTTTAACTGCTTCAAGGCAAGCTAGCAAATCATAATGGTAGTTTCCCTGGTCATGAAAACGAGTAATCACTTTCCTTTTGTCCTTACAATTACAAGGGATGTGCTTCTATCTGCTTCTCCAATATCAGAAAATACAACAGTGAGAATAAGAAGCTAAGCAGTACTTAGCATAATGCACTGTGAGAGAGCAGTTAGTAACTCTTTATTCAACACAATACTAAACAAAGTACACATTTCTAAAAGTCTGAAACAAAGTTTACTGTAACTCTACTGATATTGGAAGCTTTGAGAGCTCAGGTTAAGAATAAAAGTATGTAATACTTTCAACAATCAAGATAAATTTTTTTTAAAAAGAGTAAAGTTACTGAGAAAGAAGAAGTCAATCACCCAGAGAAGTATCTTGTTCATTCTGTAAGCTTATCATATTTATGAGAAATCTGCATTTTAATATATTACTAGATCTGTACTTTAAGAGAAGGTGAAAACTATTTTTATATCTGAAGCCTGATGTAATTCATTCACTTTTAGGAAAGTCAACAAAATTTTGTATATAAGTGAAATGATCTATTTTATTTAACAAATAATTGTGTACTGCTTCATGTAATACTAGACAAATGTTTCAGGATATATAGTTATTAATATACTATACATATACACATATACTTAATGTATTAAAGTAATATGGTTATAAATATACCAAATAAACACATTAATAATACAAACATACATAAACATATAATCCCTGAGGAAGAAAAGCTATGTATAAATTTGTGAAAAAATTATTAAAAAGTATTTTTTTTTAAGTGATAGTTTCAAAAATAAAAAAGCTCCCATCTGTTTAAGGGATCAGGAAAAGACTTTCCTGAAAGTATAGCATTTGAAACAGGTTTTGAAAGACAGACAAAATGTATTTTTTGTGTAGTGAGAAGGAGGGACATATCAGAAGGAGAAAAGAAATTCCAGGTAAAAAAATGACATAGGCAGGTATAAACAGAAGTAGGAAAAACTAAGGTTTATATATATTCTTTCATGAGACTATAAATTTCATTTTATAGAGGATTAGCAGCAGTTAAATCCATTAGAGAACAAATTTAGGGCCATTTTGAGAAAAGTCTTGAATGCAAGGCTGAGGGTCATTTGTATTTAATTAGGCAATGAGGAACCACAAATAGTTTGGGGGTACAATAAAGTTTAACAGCTATATTTTAAGAATACTAAAACTGAACTGCAGACAAATGGACCAAACCCATCTTAGTAGAAGTACAAGATCAAACTAAAAAGCTGTTGCAATAATTCAGACAAGAAATAATAAATGACCAAACGAAGACAGTGCTAGCAGAAATAAGGAGGAAAGGACTGGACCCTAGAGATAAAGTGTGGGGGATAGACTGTCAGGCATCTGCCAAGGATTTCTCTCTTTATTGTGTAATCTTCTCAACTTGAGTGGGAGCAAGACCTATGACCTGTTTCTAACCAACAGAATAAGCAGAGATGAAAGGATGGTACTTCCAGGATTACATTACAGAAGACAGTTAACTTCGGTTTTGCAGTTAATTGTGATGGGCAAAGGGGAAGCAAGTTAATGAGAAATCTAAAAATTCAAACTTAGATGGCTATAGAGATGGAGATGCTATTAACAGGAGTCAGAGAGAGGGGATGGACTATTTTCTTTACAGGTTGTGCAGCAGTAACTTGATTCTGTTCATTTTGCAATTAAAATGTCTGGTCCTTCAGAAATGTTTAATAAAATTTATGAGGGAAGCCAGAGCTAGAAATAAAAATATGGAAATTATTTTTATAAGACAAATAATAAATACATGCTTAGAATAATTTCAATAATAGCAAGACCCAAATAATGGTTTGGGGCAAAATGAAGTTATTAAAGAAATTTGAGGCCAAATTTGAGGCCATTATTCTCAAGCTATATAATAAGAGAAAAATAAAGAGCACAGGAGCTGGATGCTAAAGTAATTAAGGAAAGCAGGCAAGTACCCTAGATTTATAGACAAAAGAGAAAAAAAAGGTGAGGCAAAAATAAATTGAGCTATTAACTAGAGAGGTGAGCACTGGTTCCATCTTCATCTCCATCCTTAACACTCTAAGCTACATCACCAGAGTAGCCCTGCCTAATCCAGCCTCATGGCTCTATAATCTCCTTCAATGGGCTTGGAATCAAGGGATCTAGATAGTGACCAAAAGTTATACGTACAATTCCAAATAAAGGAATCTTTATTTGTTCCACTTTACTATTGCCCTCAAGGTTCATGGCATATAAAAACACCCATAAAAGAAATTCTAGGTGTCCTATAAAACTAAACCCAAGAAAGGATTTTAAGTAATCATTATCTGTCAAGCATTTTAAGTAGATAAGGATTAGCTGTTTCTAAGATGCACAGTGAACATCTAAATGGCACAATTAAAACGTTTGGTTTTTAAACTAAAAAAATTTTAGCCCTTTTTCAAGTTCTGATTTATATCTGTGAGCAACGATAATACTTGAAAAGTTAGAATGCCAGGTAAGAAACTTTACAAGGCAACTTCTTCAGTGTCTTACCTCCGAAGCAGTAGCAGCAACATTAACACTGCTTGCCTGCCCGTTCAGTAGGTCCATGCTTCCCACAACATCAGTCCTGATGCTATGTTAACAGCACAGAAGACTGACTGACTGCTTCACGTCCAAGGCCACAAATACATTATTATTCCTGTAAAAAAGAAACAAAATTTTAAATGTGTGTTTAATTATTACTGAAAGTTTAAGAAACCAAATCAATGCCTATCACCATGTCAAGAAAGACATTTTTTCAACTTTACCGAATTCTTTCTTATTCAGTTAAATCACTGAAGCCAGTTTGAGGACAATCCTATATGCTATTTTCACATGATCAGAAACACCAAACGGACAGTGTTCAATGCATGTTACTTTATGGTTCTTCATCATCAAAGCAGAAGTGCAATTTTTCACTTATTGTGAGAAAAATTCAAAATTTTTTACTTTTAAGTAAATAAAGTATAAAAAAACACGTGGCAGAGTAACACATAGCCTAACAATAAATTTTTAGAGTTCTAAATGACATTCTTAAATCAACAATGAGTAAGTTTACCGTGGCTGATAATCTAGTTTACAAAGATATTACAAATAAATAAAGTACTATGGAATGTGTAATAAAAATACCACAATATGTATTTATTTGTATAGGGTATTAAAGTTTATTGAATATCTTCAATCCACTGTCTCACTTATCTTCACAACTACCAATAAGACCAATTAAGGAAGATATTAATTAGAAGCAGCCTCTGAGGACAGAGGATGGTAAATGAGCAGCCAAGAATAAAATTCAAGCGATCTAAAATTCTGGTCAAATAGTCTCTCCACAACACTGCATTTCTGTCCACTTCACTGGAAGTCAGAATATTTACCTGACTGAGGTAAATAATCCCTTTCCACAAATAGCTTCAACTATCTAGGGCAGAATTTCTTCCTCTCTGAAAATTAAAGGAGTAAATGGGCCTTAAGTTTCCTTTCCAACTATAAATTTCTATGATGGTTTTCGTTCATTTTTTAATTTTATTGTTCAATTACAGTTTACATCTAGTATTATTATGTACTAGAGGCCCGGTGCATGACATTCGTGCACTGGGGGATGAGGGGGTCCCTCAGTCCAACCTGCACCCTCTCCAATCTGGGAGCCCTCAGGGGAGCCCTCTCCAATCCGGGAGTTTCTGTCTGTCTTTGCAATCATATGAGTGAATTGTCTGAGACCCCCAACCCAGTTTGGTTTGTTGCTCACAGAATAATAGAGGCATTTTTTTTCCTTTGCTTCATTGGTGGAGATTTCCTGGAAGTTTTAGGATATCTTCCCTTTAATTTTTCCTAGACACTCTGATTTTACTTACGTCTCTCACCTTTGCTTTCCCTCCATCCCCCATCGCAACAGTAACTTGCTCCAGGCTCACTTTGCTCTAGTGTCTAGGAGAGCCATCTGCCACCAAAACTACGATTCCCAGCATTCCTGGTGCTCCCCGTGCTGCTGGGAGCAACCGAGGGAGCCACATCCCCACAAGCCTCCGGCTCTCCCGCTCTGCTCTCCACCCAGTGCCTGTGTATGCAAATTAACCTGCCATCTTTGTTGGGTTAATTTGCATACTCACTCCTGATTGGCTGGTGAGTGTCACAGAGGGATGGTCAATTTACATGTTTCTCTTTTATTATATAGGATTGTTTCAGGTGTACATCATAGTGGTTAGACAATCATATACTTTACAAAGTGGTACCCCAGATACTTCCAGTGCTCACCTGGCACCACACATAGTTATTGCACTAAAATACACACACACACACACACACACACACACACACACATACTAGAGGCCCGGTGCACAAAAATTTGTGCACTCGGGGGGAAGGGGGGGTCCCTCAGCCCGGCCTGTGCCCTCTCGCAGTCTGGGACCCCTTGAGAGATAACGCCCTGCTGGCTTAGGCCTGCTCCCGGGTGGCAGGGGGCAGGCCCAATCCCTAGGTGCAGCCACTGGTCGGGCTCAGAGCAGGGCCGATTGGGGAGTTGGGGCACCGCCCCCTGTCATGCACAGAGCAGGGCGGATTGGGAGGTTGCAATGCCACCCTCAGTCATGCTCAGGGTAGGGCCGATTGGGGGGTTGGGGCACCACCCCGTCACACTCAAGGCAGGGTTGATGGGGAGGTTGCGGCGCCAACCCCTGTCACGCACAGAGCAGGGCCAATCCGGGGGTTGGAGCGCTGCGCCCTGTCACGCACAGAGCAGGGCCCATCAGGGGGGTTGGGGCTCCTTACCCTGTCACGCACAGCGCAGGGTCGATCAGGAGGTTGGGGAGCTCCCACCTGTCACGCACAGAGCAGGGCCCATCAGGGGGGTTGGGGAGCTCCCCTCTGCCACACACAGAGTAGGGCCGATAGGGGAGTTGGGGCACCGCCCCATCACACACAGAGCAGGACGGATCAGGGGGTTGGGGCGCCGCCCTCTATCACCCACAGAGCAGGGCCGATCAGGGGGTTGGGGCGCCGCCACTGTCACACTCAGGACAGGGCCGATGGGGAGGTTATGGCTCTACCCCATCACACACAGAGCAGGGCCCGTGAGGGGAGGAGGGGGTTGGGGCGCCGCCCTCTATCACCCACAGAGCAGGGCCGATCAGGGGGTTGGGGCGCCTTCCCGTCACGAACAGAGCAGGGTGGATAGGGAGGTTGTGGCCCCGCCCCCTGTCACACACAGAGCCGCAGGGCAATCAGGGGGTTTGGGTGCTGCCCCCTGTCTCACTGATCCCAATACCAGGAGGCCTCTCAGCTCCACTGATCCCGGTGCTGGGAGGCCTCACGGCTCCGCTGATCCCGGTGCTGGGAGGCATATTACCCTTTTACTATATAGGATAAAGGCCTGGTGCACGATTGGGGGCCGGCTGGTTTGCCCTGAAGGGTGTCCTGGATCAGGGTGGGGGTCCCCATTGGGGTGCCTGGCCAGCCTGGATGAGGGGATGATGGCTGTTTGCAGCTGGTCACACACCCTTCAGGTTAGGGGTCCCCACTGGGGTGCCTGGCCAGCCTGGGTGAGGGGATGATGGCTGTTTGCAGCTGGTCACACACCCTTCATGGTGGGGGTCCCCACTGGGGTGCCTGGCCAGCCTGGGTGAGGGGCTGGGGGCTGAAGCTCCCAACTGCTCCTTTTTTTTCTTTATTTTGGGACAGCTTTAGCTCTGGCTCAAGCTCTGAGGCCTCTGCTGCTGAGAGCAGGTATCTGGTTTGTTTGGTTTCTATAATCGAAACAATGTATAACTCCAGCTCTGAGATCCCGGCTCGCTAAAAGCAGGTTTCTGGGGTTTTGTTTAGCTTCTATATTTGTTACAATGTTTCAAACTGCAGGCTCAGAGGCCGGCAAGGCAGGCAGGTAACGTTGGTTTCCTCCATCACTGAAGCAAGCAAGCCTCATGTTAGTTTCAAGCTGCCTGGCTGCTGGCCGCCATCTTGGCTGGCAGTTAATTTGCATATCGCCCTGATTAGCCAATGGGAAGGGTAGCGGTCGTACGCTAATTACCATGTTTCTCTTTTATTAGATAGGATATGGCTAATATACTAAGTGTCCATCTGATCGATCACTATGGCACACACTGACCACCAGGGGGCACATGCTCAACGCAGGAGCTGCCATGACTTGGAAGCAGTGGTTCTCGGTGACGCACCCCGAAACCAGAGAGGAGGGAGCCCGATTCCTTGTGGGGCCACACGATTCCACCTTCGGCCATAGGTTATGTTGTTGCTGGGGCACTGTTGCCCCGAATCTGGTTTACTGCACACTTGCATTTGCATTCTACAGCCTGCATCACAGCAACTTTGCAGAGTGCCCTCTTGCACGTCGGGACCCCTTGGGGGATGTCAGAGAGCTGGTTTCTGTCCAATCCCCGCAGGCCAGGCCGAGGGACCCCACCTGCCAGAGGGACCCCACTCACTCCGCAGATGCCCTTCGAGCCACAGCGCCACCCCAGGTGTTGCTGGCCAGGGAGGGACCACGGGAGGTTGGCTCTAGGGCACATCTAGCTTGTCTTGCCCAGTCCCGCCCTGCCAGCCACCTTCTAATTAATTTCCTTTCAATGTGCACGAATCCGTGCACTGGGTCACCAGTATTGACTATATTCCCTATGTTGTACTTTACATCTCCATGATTGTTTTGTAACTACCAATTTGTATATCTTAAACCCTTCACTATTTTCACCCAGTCCCCCATCCCCCCTCTCCTCTGGCAACCACCAGTCTGTTCTCTGTATCTATGAGTCTGTTTCTGTTTATTTTTTTAGATGCCATGTATAAGTGAAATCATATGGTATTTGTCTTTCTCCGACTGACTTATTGCACTTAGCACATAGACCTCTAGGTCTATCCATGCTGTCACAAATGGTAAGATTTTATTCTTTTTTACAGCCAAGTAATATTCCATTGTGTATATATATATATACATATACATATACATATACATATATATACCATAGCTTTTTTATCCACTCATCCATTGATGGGCACTTGGGTTGCTCTCATATTTTGGCTATTGTAAATAATGCTGCAATGAATGCAGGGGTGGGCAAACTTTTTGACTCAAGGGCCACAATGGGTTCTTAAACTGGACCGGAGGGCCGGAACAAAAGCATGGATGGAGTGTTTGTGTGAACTAATATAAATTCAAAGTAAACATCATTACATAAAAGGGTACGGTCTTTTTTTTTTTTTTAGTTTTATTAATTTCAAACAGGCCGGATCTGGCCTGCGGGCCGTAGTTTGCCCACGGCTGACATAGGGGTAGATCTATTCTTTTGAATTAGTGTTTTGGGTTTATTTGGATATATACCCAGAAGTGGAATTGCTGAGTCACAGGCAGTTCCATTTTTAATTTTTAAGGACCTTCCATCCTGTTTTCCACAGTGGCTGCACCAATGTGCATTCTCACCAACAGTGCATGGGGGTTCCCTTTTCTCCACATCCTCCCCAGCATTTGTTGTTTGTTGATTTAATGATGATAGCCATTATGATAATGTGAGGTGATACCTCACTGTGGGATTTTTTAAAAATTAATATTCACTGGAAGATATTTTTTCCATTGCTTTTAGAGAGAGTGGAAGTAGGGTTGGATGAAGGGAGGGAGAGGAGGGAGAGGGAGGAAGAGAGAGAGAGAGAGAGAGAGAGAGA